GAACCACCTGTTGTTGAGGAATGACCTGAACCAGTCTGGCAGAGGTTCTGATGCTACAGAGGTCCAGCCTGGAGATCAGACAACTCAGGTCAACTGTGTCTAAAGCAGCTGTCAGGTCTGAATAAAAAAATCAGCTGAGTCTCCTGTTTCTGTAGCTGATAAAACATTATTAATAACTTTTAAAGCTGCTCTGTCAAATCAGAACGAGCTTTGAAACAGAACTGCAGCTGCACAATAATCCCTTCTACAGTAGATGATGTTTGTTCTGTTCGATCTCACAGGTTCATTATGTTGCTGATGAGAACACAGTCAACTATGAAAATGTTGRACAGAGTCCTGCTGCTCCCACACTCAGCTGAACTTCATCACATCCACTTCAACTGGAACCAGAACCATCCGTTATCATCTTTTACTGCAATTTTTGAGGAATGAAAACTTTCTGAAGTTTATTTTCAAGTTTTTCATCTTTGTTTCCATATAAATCTGAAACACCTTGAGCTGTTTGTGATTTTATACTATGTTGACTTTATTTTTAAAATAAAAAACATATGGCTGTAGTTGGTTATTTTAAAGAGGAGCTTTGAAAAAGAAATTGAAAAATATATCAGTTCTATTTCATCTCTTGGACCACTAGAGGGCAGTGCTGAAAACTCTGAATCTACCCTTCATGTTTGGGTAAATAATGTCAACAAAGTCACAGCTGTGATCCATCAAATGATTAACCAGAACCGATWTGGGCAGGTATCATGTGAGGCTTTGATTCTACAGAATCTTCTTGTGTGATGCAAGGATTCATAGTGACAGAGAATCTTGGCGGTCCTACAGGATTCATAGAACTGCAAATATATAAGAAATTTATATCCTGTTTCATCCCACCTGACCATCAGAGGGTGGTGCTGAAAGCACTTAATGACTAATACCAGTGATGTCACAAAGAATCCAAAGCAACRATCAGTGTCCTCATCACCTGGAGCCAGTGCCGGCTCTAGACATTTTGGTGCCCTGGGCGAGTTGAAGCGTAACCCCCCACCACCACCCCAAACTATGTCCCACCCACCGCGATTTGAACCCCTAAAAACAAGTTTGACAGTGTCAGGTACTATGGTAAACTTAGATTCATTTGCTTTAAACACAAACATGCGTCACACAACAAATTAAATGAATAAATAAATATAATTAAATCAAATGAAAAGGGTAAACAAAAGACACTGTTCACAATTTGTGCAAAGATTCAGAAGGGCCTCTCTTTTTGGAAAATATAAGTCTGATTTTGCCTCATAAGGTCCTCTGCTGACAAACTCAGTCTTCACTGTGTCAGAATGGATGTCTGCAGGATCAACAGGCTGCTTTGACAGACTCACATAAATCTGGGTGTGTTACAGTTGATGCAGTGTCCTCAGGATGTGTAACGTCTCAGGGGTAGGTCAGGTGTTATTATCTTTCACCTTTTAAGTTTATTTAGTTGAATTTAATCACAAATTTAAAGTTTACCATTGATGTAAGAAACAAATTTCATGTTAGGTAAAAAAATATATATTTTTTT